GGTAGGACATATAGCTCCCGTGTGTTTCACTAGACATAGGCACTTGACCTTTAATGAAACACACACCATATTTAGTGCTGACGAAAAGAAATCCTTTGGAAAAGGATATTCGAATCATAAACAATCTCCACAGGATAGTGCACAAAAGAAACCGTATTATTTCTTCTACTTTGACGAAAAGAAGAAAGTCCACATTCCGTTACCGGAACCAACACAGACCACACCGAGATACCGGCACTCCGTTCGGGTAGACTGGAACCCGCCAACCACTAGACAATGGGTTGGCCAAGGTAACTCCTAAACAATCATTTAATTGTGTGTGTGTGTGTGAATTTTGGGTGTGTGTGTGGGCAATAAAGGTCAACTAACCCCCAAGGACCCATAGACATACTTTGGGTACCAAAGTGTTATTCTTTTTTGCAGGGACGGTTCAAAGTGAAGAATTCTGGAAATTAGGGGGAACCAGCGATGGGTGGGCAATACCATCGCTGGGAGGGAAGTTTTCTTTTTTTCAGAACCCCTCTTCCCAACGATGGGTGCTTCTTCCCATCGATGGGTAATTGACTCTATTTTTTAAAAAACCTTTTAACGGATTTCCAGAAATACCTTACCCATCGATGGGTATTTCATTCCATCGCTGGGTGAAGGACTTTTGTCGATTTTTTTTTTCAAGAAACACCCTACCCATCGATGGGTCTCTTATCCCATCGCTGGGTGAATGATTTCAGTTTCAAAAATTTTTTCCAGAACCTCCATACCCATCGATGGGCACTTTCTCCCATCGCTGGGTGTTTGACATTTTTTTTAAAATCTTTTTTAAACGTATTCCCAAAATCACCAACCCAGCGATGGGATGGTATTAACATCGCTGGGAAGGCTTTCGTCTTTTATTCTTCACTTTTCAGAACCCACCTTCCCATCGATGGGAGAGTCCACACATCGCTGGGAAGGCAGTCTGATTTTCTCCTTCGCTTTCCAGTAGCGACCTTCCCATCGATGGGTAGATCCTACCATCGCTGGGAAGGCGGTTGAAGTTCAAAATTTCAGAACCGTTGGAGACAGCATTTATGGCCCAACAGCTCTTTTTTTCAAAATTCAAACGGGATTTCCTCCTCTCCCTATATATTCACATCATCCCTTACCTTCTTAACACACAATTAACATCATTATTTCATTTCTTTAGCCTATACCACTTATTCCTTCAATCTTTCTTCAAAAACGCCTC